AAGGATGTTCAACTCGGTTTTGTTTATATTTTGCTTAGCCTATAATTTTAAATGACCGATGTCGTATTTATTTATTTTTCTCTGCGACTTTCCTACTGTGTTAACAGAAAAATGTCAAACGTATTTAGTATTTTGACAAGACGAATAAAAATAGCTAAATAGGCTATTTTTGTACAACCTACATTTTTATTATTTTTTTCTCTCTGAGACACTTTTTCCCTATTATGTTGTCAATGTTAAATGAATTGTATCCTGACAAGACAAATAAAAATAAGAAATACAATTTTTGTAAAATTTTATTTTCTCTGACACTTTTTTTCCTACTGTGTTGCATAAAATATTAAACGAATTTTGTGTCTTAAGATAATTCCTATAAATTCAAGTCAAAGTCAATAAATTCAAGACTCTTGACAAGACGAATAAAATAACATACAATTCTGTGCAGACTACACTTTTATTTGTCAGCCTATCTCTCTTTCTTTCAGTAGCGGAAATTTAAATGTGAGATTCTGGAAACGAGATCTAAATTTAGCGGGAACGGTCGGGTCGGGAAGAAAATTATTCTAAGCGGACAGCGGGTGAACAAAGAGTGAATATATAGCGGGAGCGGGTGGGTGCGGAATAGAACCTTGCGGGAGCGGGACTAAAAAAACAGTCCTGATTTATTTTAAAGATTTAAAATAAATGCTGTTCTTTTGAATTTTCTTTTAATCCTGAATCCTGAAAAAAAGTATCATGGTTTCCACAAAAAAGTATCATGGTTTCCACAGCTCAACATTTATAATAATTATAAATGTTTCTTGAGCATCAAATCAGCATATTAGAATGATTTCTGAAGGATCATGTGACACTGAAGACTGGAGTAATGATGCTGAAAATTCAGCTTTGCATCACAGGAATACATTACATTTTAACATATATTCACATAGAAAACAGTTATTTTAAATGGTATTAATTTTTCAAAATATCTCTGTTTTTACTGTATTTGTAATGAAATAAATGCAGCCTAAGTTACTTTTTTCTAAACATACAAAATACTGACCTGAAACTTTTTAAATTGGTAATGTATATCAAGATTTTTCAAGTAATTTTGCATCACTTTTGTCCATAGGCTATACACATGCTGGTGATGGCTGCTACTGACCTGCAGAGAGACATTGTGGAAAGTGGCCGGGTATGATTTGGACAATTTTAGATCATTTTCATAAATCATGCATGCATACACACTCAATCACCTTATTGCCCTATTCCATCTTAGGGTGCTGGTTCTGTCAAAGACTTCTATGCTAAAAATTCACGTTGGACAGAGGGACTCATTTCAGCGTCAAAGGCTGTAGGATGGGGTGCAACGCAGATGCTGTGAGTGTGTAGAATATTTCAAGCTTTAACCTGGATTTATTAGCGTCAATCCCTGTAACTGTGATTTATTATCTCACAAAGTGAATCAGCTGATAAAGTCGTGACCGACAAAGGCAAATATGAAGAGCTGATTGTCTGCTCTCATGAGATCGCCGCCAGTACGGCACAACTTGTTGCTGCTTCAAAGGTAAAATTCATGAGACCAATATAAGTGTGTGTTTAATACAATCAAATCTGATGATTCTGACACATCAATCCTTCATTTAACAGGTAAAGGCAGATCGAGGCAACAAGAAGCTCCAAACTTTACAGCAAGCATCCCGTCACGTGAATGACATGGCCGCTGTTGTGGTGTCGTCTGCTAAATCAGGACAAATGCAGATTGAGAACAAGAGTGAGTGTCATGGACACATGCAAAAAGCATGAAACATACTCCATGCAAATAGTGAAGTTTGTTACCACCAACAATGCTGGAATGCACATTAAAGGAATAGTTCAACCAAAAATTAAAACTAGCTGAAAATGTACTCACACTCGGACCATCCAAGATTTAGATGAGTTTGTTTCTTCATGGAAACACATTTTGAGAAATTTAGCATTAGGTCACTTCCTCACCAGTTGATCCTTTGCAGTGAATGGGTGCCGTCAGAATGAGAGTCCAAACAGCTGATAAAAACATCACAATAATTCACAAATAATCCACATGACTCTAGTCCTTCAGTTAACCTCTTGTAAAATAAAAAGGTGTGTGTTTGTAAGAACAAATGCAGTACATCAAGGCATTTTAACATGATTAAACCATTGTTTCTGTCTAAAATATGAGTCCTCTATCCATAATATTGCCTTCTCCAGTGAAAAAGTAATCTTGTCTGAGTCAGAAGAGAAATATACACATATAAAGCACTGTTTACAAGCAAAAACAGTTCTAAACAAATATGTTGGTGGATTTGGATGTGAGAGGACAATAGGGGATTAACTTCACCGGAGGAAGCATTATTATGGATTATGGACTTGTATTTTAGCCAGAAGTGACAGTTTTAAGTTACAATGTCTTAATAATGGATTTGTTTGCAATAGGGGATTAACTTCACCGGAGGAAGCATTATTATGGATTATGGACTTGTATTTTAGCCAGAAGTGACAGTTTTAAGTTAAAATGTCTTAATTATGGATTTGTTTGTTACAAACACACGGCTTTTGGCTTCCGCTACTGATCTGCAGAGAGACATTGTGGAAAGTGGCCGGGTATGATTTGGACAATTTTAGATCATTTTCATAAATCATGCATGCATACACACTCAATCACCTTATTGCCCTATTCCATCTTAGGGTGCTGGTTCTGTCAAAGACTTCTATGCTAAAAATTCACGTTGGACAGAGGGACTCATTTCAGCGTCAAAGGCTGTAGGATGGGGTGCAACGCAGATGCTGTGAGTGTGTAGAATATTTCAAGCTTTAACCTGGATTTATTAGCGTCAATCCCTGTAACTGTGATTTATTATCTCACAAAGTGAATCAGCTGATAAAGTCGTGACCGACAAAGGCAAATATGAAGAGCTGATTGTCTGCTCTCATGAGATCGCCGCCAGTACGGCACAACTTGTTGCTGCTTCAAAGGTAAAATTCATGAGACCAATATAAGTGTGTGTTTAATACAATCAAATCTGATGATTCTGACACATCAATCCTTCATTTAACAGGTAAAGGCAGATCGAGGCAACAAGAAGCTCCAAACTTTACAGCAAGCATCCCGTCACGTGAATGACATGGCCGCTGTTGTGGTGTCGTCTGCTAAATCAGGACAAATGCAGATTGAGAACAAGAGTGAGTGTCATGGACACATGCAAAAAGCATGAAACATACTCCATGCAAATAGTGAAGTTTGTTACCACCAACAATGCTGGAATGCACATTAAAGGAATAGTTCAACCAAAAATTAAAACTAGCTGAAAATGTACTCACACTCGGACCATCCAAGATTTAGATGAGTTTGTTTCTTCATGGAAACACATTTTGAGAAATTTAGCATTAGGTCACTTGCTCACCAGTTGATCCTCTGCAGTGAATGGGTGCCGTCAGAATGAGAGTCCAAACAGCTGATAAAAACATCACAATAATTCACAAATAATCCACATGACTCTAGTCCTTCAGTTAACCTCTTGTAAAATAAAAAGGTGTGTGTTTGTAAGAACAAATGCAGTACATCAAGGCATTTTAACATGATTAAACCATTGTTTCTGTCTAAAATATGAGTCCTCTATCCATAATATTGCCTTCTCCAGTGAAAAAGTAATCTTGTCTGAGTCAGAAGAGAAATATACACATATAAAGCACTGTTTACAAGCAAAAACAGTTCTAAACAAATATGTTGGTGGATTTGGATGTGAGAGGACAATAGGGGATTAACTTCACCGGAGGAAGCATTATTATGGATTATGGACTTGTATTTTAGCCAGAAGTGACAGTTTTAAGTTAAAATGTCTTAATTATGGATTTGTTTGTTACAAACACACGGCTTTTGGCTTCACAAGACATTAACTGATGGACTGGAGTGGTGTGGATTACTTGTGGATTATTGTGATGTTTTTATCAGCTGTTCGGACTCTCATTCTGCCGGCACCCATTCACTGCAGAGGATCCATTGGTGAGTGATGTGATGCTAAATTTCTATGTGTCCTCTTGTTTCTTTTTTCCATAGACTCCATGGACTTTTCCGGCATGTCTGTTATAAAACTCAAAACAGAAGAAATGGATTCTCAGGTAAATTTGCCAAAATGAAAAATAGTACAGTTTTAGGTATTAAAACACCCTTACATCATCCAATCAAATCCCAAAGGATTAAATCAGACTTTTAATGCATACATGTAAACTCATATTTGTTTATAGGTGAAAGTATTAGAGTTGGAGAAGCAGCTGGTGAACGAGCGTATACGATTGGGAGAACTCAGGAGGAAGCACTATGAGATGGGAGGGATCCCGATGGACTCGTCTCCAGGGAATACAGTCAATAGTTTTGACAGTTCACTGCCTACTGTTTTTCCTGACCCGCCCAATATGGAACTGCCCAGTCTGGATGCGTTCACACTGGACCCACCCAGATTCGAACCACTTCGACTGGACCCGCCCAGACCGGAGCCCCCCGCAACCGAACCTGCCAAAACCAGCTCTAAACGAACCTCAATCTTCCATAAATCAGGCAGTCTCCTCAAGAATGCAGTAAGTATTCACAGACACTGTTCGCTTTGGACCAATTTAACTGTATTTCCAGTGAAAATATTGCCTTTATAATGAAATTTAGATGTTAAGTTGTTGTTCTTTGTTTATCTCACACAGTTTAGGTGAAAGGAGTCTGGGCCCTGGATGTATAAAGAAGAAACCATCATAATGTATATTATTTTCATAGTTTTATCATGAGTCTCTACTGTATATCATCCTTCATGCTTTGACAATACAATATGGTGTGAATTAAATATTCGAAATTATGCTTTTAATTTATAATATCATTTAGTGAATTGCTACAGTGAAATATTTTATCATGCAATTTTAAAAATTTTAATAAGTACCAGGTTGAAGACTTTACCTTTTTTTTTTTACATCAGCACCATCAATTGATGGCTGGTAGTTAATTTGGGATCTTTTAACACCTTTTAAAGTAAATGAACTTGAAGTTGTAAATGCAAATTGAAGTAAAATGATTAATTATGTTGGGTAAGTTATGCATGTGTTGTTTTTTTTTTAACACCTGTATTTACAGATGCAACAACAAATTAAAAACATGTTAGAAATCCATTCAAAAACCATCCATGAAATCTCCAATTTAATATGTTTATCAAAAACTGCACGCATACATAATCATACACGATTATAGGCAGTGTTGGGAAGGTTACTTTGGAAATGTAATAGGTTACAGATTACAAGTTGCCCTATTTTGTAATAAGTAGTGTAACTATTTCAATTACTTTATTAATGTAACTGATTACATTTGATTACTTTTTGATTTCTTTTCAAAATTTCTAATGAATGTTTTCAACTGTTAATCATTTTCAAACATTTAAAGCAGGCGGGGTTATAACACTCATTACTGACAGACTTCTCAAAATCCTTCATCGATTGAATTAAGATTAAAGTAATTGAATTTTAAAGTACAGCTACCACAAAATCAGACTTTAGAGATCATCCTGAGGTTAAATACAGATTTAAAATCATAACAAGATATAGTTTAATAGCTATGATACTGTTTTTTTTTTAATCAAATCTTTGCACAGCTATGACAGGAAACACTGGCATCTAACAATGCTTTTGAATGTAAAAAATCTTGTGTAATATAACTTGTGTTTGTTTGTTTGCTGTTTTTTATTGTATTTGTTATACTTGTATTTAAAAAAAAAAAAATTTGCCATGAAAATAGCCTAAGATGCTGACATGGCATTAAATAAATATATTACCGGTACTACTAAATACCTGTATACTACTACTACTACTAACCATGCTTTTGAAAAAACAGTTAATCTTAAATAAAACATAAACCCAAACAGGAAATAAAAAACAGTTATCGAATAAGCATGTGTCCTATTCTGTGTTCTAAACTCCTGAAACATTGGTGTCTCATATTTTAAAGCAGTCAATGCAATTTGGGAAAGAAGTCAATTAAATCTGTATGTGTGTGTGTGTGTGAGAAAATATTCAGATCATGTAACCCCCTTTGTAATCATTAACATTTTCATAAGTAACTGTAATTTAATTGCACATTTTTAACAGATTACAGTTACATTTATTTTGTAATTAAATTACGTAATTTCGTTGTAACTAGACTAGTTACTCCCCAACTCTGATTATAACTAAGTATAGCGTGTCAGTCACTGCTTGACATGTTCTGTCAACTACCCGTTCATACTTTGATCTAACAAAGGCAATGAAAATCCATTCACGGATTTACCTGTGTCCACCGTTTTATAGCCACAATGAGTTAAACTACCCAATAACTATGGTAAGCAGTGTTTATGACCAGTATTGTAGGTCAGTGTGACGCTTGACAGTGATTTCACAGCGCCCTCGTCTGCCGCTGCTGTGCGCATGCGCGGTACGTAAAGCGCCGCTCTGAGGAATAAATAAGGGCAGGGAATGTTATTTTAATTATATATGTGATTAATTAGATTAAAAAAATTATAGCTTGACTGCCCTAATATAAAGTGTATATACATTGATGTCCAAAAGTTTGGGCTGTTTTTTAAAGACGTTTCTTATGCTCAACATTTATTTAATAAAAAATACAGTAAAACAGTAATATTGTGAAATATGATTACAATTTCAAATAACTGTTTTCTGTATTAATTTACTTTAAAATGTAATTTATTCCTGTGATGCAAAGCTGAATTTTCATCAGCCATTACTACAATCTTCAGTGTCACATGATCCTTCAGAAATCATTCTTATATGCTGATTTATTATCAATGTTCGAAACAGTTTTTGCTGCTTAATATTATTATTTTTTGAATCTGTGATATTTTTTTCATGATTTTATTCAAAATAGAAATCTTTTCTAACAATATAAGTCTTTACTGTCACTTTTTATCAGTTTAACAGATCCTTGCTGAATGTATACTGCTTTTTTCTACTACTTTTAGTACGTATGAACGTATATACATTGTTTTTCTTTGCTTAAGTTCTTTGCCAGTGGTGTTTCAGAACAAAGCAGTGCATGCATGGGAATTTCTAAGTTCCTGTCTGGTACAGGAAATGATGTAATCTTAACCACAGTCCATCATCATCACGTAACATCGTGTCCACTGGGACAGTGAGCAAATATGCAACAAATCCTAATCTTATGAGGCTGATGTAAATGTACTAAGGTAGTACTATAATACAGTGTGGGGTCAGATTCTACTGTGCTAATACTATGGTAACTTGATGTTTACTGAAGGATTGCAAAATTCTTATACTATATGTTTATTTACATGCTACTTCAAGATGAAGAAGAATACTGTGGTTTTACCATAGGTATTGTAGCACATGAGAATCTCACACAAATGTAAGAATAGAGTAAAAACATGAGTGTGTGAATATAAGCAGAGTTATGAATGCAGCTTTTGTCTGTGTCCTTCTGTGAAGATGTTATTATGCTCCTGCTTTGTGTGTTTTTGCTGATTGTTTCAGACATTACGTAACTCCAGTGAAGGTCAGCGGTTAAATACACACTCGTCTATATTTTATGAGCCGCTTCTGAGATGTGTGTGTGTGTGTGTGTGTGGTTGTGAACAGGAGCTGGAGCTTGTGGAGGATGTGTGGAGAGGAGAAGCCCAGGATCTGCTGTCCCAGATCACACAGCTGCAGGAGGAAAACAAAACACTGCTCAACAACCTGTCCGTCAAAGAGTGTCCAATGACGGAAGAGGATATACAGAAACAGGAAGGTAGTCTTAAAGCTCAGGGTTTGGAAAAAGAGAGCTTTGTGTCAGCCTTACACTGTCTGGAAAACAATATCCCACAATGCACCACGCTTCAATTCCATGACCTTCCATTTCTAATTAGATGGAATACAACCTTATTTGACAGCCAAAACAATATATTTACACAAAATTGGTTTACAAATTTCGGAGGTTTTAAAATTTCGGAGGTTATACAGGGTTTCGTCAGGTCTCAGTGAGCGCAAGCTAGATTCAAGTGATTATTATGTTTTGAATATGGATATTTTTCTTACAAAAACGCATCGATTCGCTACAGAAGGCCTGTCTTCCTCAGTATTTTAATATCTAAACATTCCTACATCAAGATATATTTACTTGAGATGCTAAACAAAGACAATGAAGTCTTGTTTTCTGAGAAACCAAACCAAATTAAGTGAGTTTATGCTTCAAATAAGAACAAACATTTGTCAGTGGAGTATGACTTGTTCCCTTTGAATTAAGTGAGCCCTTACTTTGATCATTTTGATCACTTTCACAGAAAACAAGACTTCTTACCTGAAGTAATGAATCTTGAACATTTGTACGGGGAAACATTGAATTTAAGTGAAATCAAAAGTAAGAATTTTATTTACTTGGTCTTAAAAAGTCTTAAATTTACTTTGAAAAAACCAGCAGAAATGCTGTGTTAATTGGACGTCACTCACATGAGACATATCACATAAATAAAAGTATTTGTTTGCATAATATATTTGTGTGTTCTGTGTCTCTTTACTATGTATATATAAATACACACACATACAGTATATATGTTGAAAATATTTACATGTATTTACATGTCTATATTTATATTCATATAATTTATATTATATATAAATATATTTAATGTACGAACATAATATATTTTTCTGAAATGTATACATGCATGTGTGTGTATTTATATATACATAATAAATATACACAGTACACATACATATATTATGTAAACAAAAACTATTTTGGATGAACTTTTATATACATATAATATACATATACATACATACATACATACATACACACACACATATATATATATATATATATTTCAATATATGCAGTGCTTTGTAAATGGCTTTGTGTGTTTTATAAGTGTGAGGGAGGAATTAAAAATATTTTTTAAGGTAACACAGCTTAAGTTGTATTTAGCTCTAAATATTCCTTTAAGGCATGTGACATTACATTTCTAGGTCATGACAAACGTGAAGTGTGTCGGTGGTTGTGTGTCAGATTCTCCGCATGGACACACATCTATTTTAGGAGCAGCAACATGGGCTCTCAGTCAGGAAGTTATTTGCTTATAGCGTCTGTCAGACTTCTTATGTCTGTCCTTATTTCCAGTGACCTGTCCCATGCAAAACAAAAGCCTCACCCTGAAACTTCCTGCATGCTAATGTGTCGATCAATAATGTCCAATATGTTATTGATTATACATGCCTTATATTTTGTTATTTCCTTGAATGTCGGATCTCTATGTAATAAATGATGCTGCATGTGCTGATTTTTTCTATTTGTGATGCCAGGCATGACCGAGAGGGAACGGCAGGTGATGAAGAAGCTGAAGGAAGTTGTAGATAAACAGCGAGACGAGATCCGTGCCAAAGGCCGCGAGCTGACGCTCAAAAATGAGGACATTGAAGCGGTAAAGAGCCATGTTCTTGCTGAGCAAATCCTATTGTTAGCAGCAGTCAATGCACAGACATTATCTCAAGGAAGCAAGATGAAGAGATGTCGAAAGCCTTCATTAAAATCAACAACTTTTGCTGGAAAAAAAAATATTGCCTAATAATATCATAGCCTAAACATCTGATGAAATCACAGTGGATCAGAAGTGCATAATGTGCACATAATGTTCATCATATTGTGGAGGTTTAATGTGGCACAAATGGCGTTTCTTCCAGCTCCAGCAGCAGTTGAACCGGCTGATGAGGATCAACCATGACCTGAGGCATAAGATCACGGTGGTGGAGGCCCAGGGTAAAGCGCTGATCGAGCAGAAGGTGGAGCTGGAGGCGTCTGGTCAGGCACGGCAGCAGGAGATGGGTAACCTGCGACAGGAAGTGTCCCGTCTTAAGGAGCGGCTTAAAGAGCAGGGCAAGATCAGTGCTGAGACGGAGGAGCCTGTAGGACCACCTTCACCTGCACAGGTACATGAATGTAGATGGGTGCTGCATTGATTGTGTCGGTTTTTCACATGTTTAGAAACTCATGAAATCTCTGACAAATAGATTATGAACTGAAGTTTTCCATTGCATCTTTGCTTAATTCCAATGCATTGAGACACCTCAGTGTTCAACTGCAGCATTCAGTCATTTCTATTTCTATTTAAAGGAAGGAAGTAAGTGTGATCTAAAGTGTCAGGATCTTCACATGGTGTCCATAATGAGTCAGAATGAAACATCAATGAGTCACAGTCTCATAGAGGAAACAAGGATGAGAATAAAAATCAGTGGACAGTGTATATGGCTTGGTATGCAAGTTGTATGTATGAATTGAGGCTTCCACTTAATTGTGAACTTTTGGGACTAATTGAGGATGTTTAACAGTGCATTAGTCTTTGTATGATTTAATTTAATTATTAGCAAAGCTTACCACCTTAATATGAAATATCACATGTGAGTGAAAAAGTGTTGGAGCCTAGTGGTTTTGCAGTTTGAGTGCACTATATTTATTTACACTACCTTTCAAAAGTTATTTAAAAAAAATAAGAAATTAATACTTTTATTCAGCAAGGACGCATTAAATTGATCAAAACAGACATTTATAGTGTTACAAAAGATTTATATTTCAAATAAATGCTTTATATTCATCAAAGTATTCTAAAAAAAAAAAAAATTTCACAAAAATATGAAGCAGCACAACTGTTTTCAACATTGATAATAATAAGAAATGTTTATTGAGTAGAAAATCAGCATATCAGAATGATTTCTGAAGGATCATGTGACACTGAAGACTAAAGTAATGATGCTGAAAATTTAGCTTTGCATCACATGAATAAATTATATTTTATAATATAAAAGTTATTTTGATTTGCAATAATATTTCACAATATTACTGTATTCATTGTATTTTTCAATGAAGTAAATTCAGCCATGGTGAGATGTCTTTCAAAAACAAAAAAAACCTTACCAGCCCCAAACTTTTGAACGGTTGTGTATCTGTTTAGAGGAACATGTAATCAAATTCAACATTTTAGATGAATCACATTAACAGAAAAAAAAAATCATGGTTAGTGATAGTTTTAATCTCTTTTCTTTTAATCTCTATGTAGCATGAAAAAAAATTGCATTGTTTTTTTTGCAAGGAAATGTGAAAAGAACAAAAACTCCTTTGCTGAAAATTTTGCTGATTGTGTTTTTATTACTCTGATTTTGTGCCATTTTGTTCAGTCGATTATTTTGAACTATTTACTCAAGCAAACTCTCCCGATAAAATGTTGGTTGCAATTTGCAATCCACATGTCTGTGACTACAGTCGTCTAAAGCGGCCCCTTCCTGGGGTCAGGATTTAGCTTCTGAGCTCCTCGCTGGGGGCCTGGAGATAGAGGAAGGTCCCCTCCATTTCATCCCCCACACCGGGGCCCCAGGAGCCCTGACAGATGACGGTGAGGAGGAGAAGGACGATGAAGAGGCTGCGTTTTCATGGGTAACCCTGCAGCGGCAGCTTCTAAGGATAGCATGGAGTGTAAACTAACACCTGACCCGTATCTGCGTCTGTTTGCACGAGTCACGCTAGGGCGACAACAACCCCGCAGAGTGTGCGACTGGTTCTGTACCAACATACAGCAGACTGTAAGAGCAGTGCACTAATGACTTCAGTCCTTTACACAGGTACACACTCATTGTGAAGAGTGTCGACTGGTGAAAGTCTTTCATTGTTAAAGCAGCCTGCATGTGTGCAAGTGTTTGTACTGAATGCAAACCATGTGACTGAATCAAATGTTAACTCGATGATCATAATCATATGATGATGGATCATAACAGAGAGGTTGCGGTCTTGTAAAATAAAGCACTGATCATATACTGTTGTACATTAACAGCAGTGAAATCATAGGCCAGTTGCATAAACTTAGCCACCATGTTAAGACTGTGTCTAAAGAAGTAGTTTGACCAACAAGCAGTTATCAAGGGGTAATCAGTCTTACTTTTTCAATACAAATAAGACCAATCTACCTTTTCATAACTGAATTAAAAAAGTTATGACCAGTCTTTAAGAAAAAGAATTAGATGACTAACTTTTTAAGACTAGTCTAAACGGTTTATGCAGCCAGCCCCAGGTGATGTTTGTGTTGTTTTGTGGATGCTCTGATGCAACTCTAGTTTAAACCTCCTCAGCAGGCAGTTGCTCAGTGTAAAAGCGAGTGTAAATGACGGTGTGTTCCTGTCATCCACCAGGAGGCGCTGTGTGATGACGACATATCCTCTATAGATCCAAAAGACCCGAACCGCCCGCGATTTACCCTGCAAGAGCTGCGTGACGTCCTGCATGAGCGCAATGAGCTGAAAGCTAAAGTCTTCATGCTGCAAGAGGAAATCGCATATTACAAAAGGTCAACCATCTTAATACTTTAAGCCAATCAGTCATATCTCTTTAAAATAAAAAATAAAAAATAATTTATGAAATATATTACTGTTATATATCATTACTTTTAAATAACACTATATTTATGAAAGCTTGTTTTCGCACGGCATAAAAAAAATAGAAAAGTTAAATGCAATTTTTTTTCTTGCAGTTCTGAGAAAAAAGTGAGAATTGTGAGATACGAATTCACAATTGCCAGAAAAAAGAATTGTGAGATATACATTCACAATCACAAGAAAAATTCATAATTGAGATAAAAAGTCGCAGTTACCTTTTTTTACTTTTTATTCCATGGCAGAAACAAAAAAAATTGTGTCCAAATTGTGAGTTGTACACTTGCAATTGCGAGAAATTTTTTTTCACAATTGCCTTTTTTACTTTTTATTTTGTGGCAGAAACAAAAAACAGAATTACAAAATGTAAACTCAAAATTCCGAGAAAAAAGAATTGCGAGATGTAAACTCAGAATTTGGAGAAAAAAGTCCAAATTGTCATATGAAATCGCAAGTGTGAGAAAAAACAGAAATATGAATTGCTGACTTATTTTTTGATCACGTTTGCAGTGACGAACAGGAAGAGGAAACAGACACGCCGCTCCCAGATGCGTCTCCAACCCTCAGGCCAAGCTCGCGCTCCAACTTTCAGCCCGAGTCGGGGATAAAACGACTGTGCGTACTGCTACAAGAGCCAAACATGTACACACACACACTTATATTACAAACATTTAGGACCAGATTTACTAAACAGTGCAAATTAGCATGAGAGCACAATCCCATAAAAGCGCCGATGGGAGTGGAAAGTTCTGTGGGTGATTTACTGACAATGCACAAAACAAAGAACACAAATGCAGTCAGATCATTTCCACAATAACCAACGCAAGTTACCAAGAGCAGTGCAAACACACAGAGCCAATGATAGTAAGGTGTGTGTAATCTACTTCCAATACAGGCGCAAAACCAATAAGAAATGCTTTTTTGGGCGGTAAATAAAGGCACAAACACCAGTAAATTGACTAGCGCAAACCTTAGTAAATCATGTTGCGTGATTCATTTAAATACTCTCCTCCCATAAATTTTGCGCCTGAAAGGAATACTCCTACAAATGCATATGCAATAAGGTCAGCTGCAAAAAGGACTGTTCATGCCTTTTTATCTCTTATTTTTCACTGCGTGTCTTTAGTAAACCCTAACAGCAGTGTTTAAAGCCAAAAGAGAGGGAATGCGTTGGCACAAGCTGTTAGTAAATCTGGCCCTTATTCTTTAAAATCAGCATAATTTGACCCCTTAGTGTTTTACAACAGCCTTTGCGTCAGGAGCACAAATATGTTGCCCGAAAATGTTTTCATTTATTTATGAATTTGGAATGTTTACAAAGGTATGCATTTATCCAAAGCAACATGCATTGCAGTCCAAGTATGCATTTTATCAGCGCATGCATTTCCCTGGGAATTTTGAGCTAAAGAAAGCACAAGTTACATATTGACTAAACTGCAGCTTTATAGCTTTCGAGTTTTATGACATGTTATGACACATGTTGGCATCCATGTACCCATGTTTTACTAAAATCTTAAGGCATGACCATCATTAATGCTGCCATATGCATCTGAAATGCTAAAGACTAAGCAGTAGGATGTGACCAAATGAAGCAGAATGATACTACAGGTGGTTCTGGGTGTTTCTTCTCTTTGCTCAACTCTCCATATCTTTGCCTCTTTGTAACAGGATCTTCATTAATTATATATATATATATATATTTTGCATTCTGAGATAATTTTTTGTTGACATTTTTGACGTTAATCATTATGACAATAAAAGCACAAAGTAATTGTAAATGCGAAAAAAATGTGCATACACGTGTGTGTGTGTGTGTGTGTGTGTGTATATATATACTATCTGTGCGACCAATCAGCAGGAGGATCGTTAGAATCAGCCAGTCAGAATCAAAGTCCCGCGCACTCCTCTAACACTCGTGCTGCGCAGTAACAGCTATATAACATTGTTTCTGTATACTAGCGACTAAAGAGTGCTTTATAGAGGCGAAGGGAGATTAAACGCTTGATTATCACTGCTTGAATGAGCTGAAATGTGTCAAGCAAGAGCACAGATACACAGCAAACATTTGTGAGATGCTTTTTGTAACTTTAGATCTGGACAGACCATAGTGAGACTGTAGGGATGAGGTTATGGTACAATAGTTTGAAATGTGTAGCTCATATTTCATGCCAAAATTTAAAGAATATAGACATGTAAATACAAATAAATATTTTCAAAATATATACTGTATGTGTGTGTATTTATATATACATAATAAAGAGACAGAACACACAAATATATTATACAAACAAAAACTTTTTTGTATGCGATTAATCAATTGACAGCACTAATATATATATATATATATATATGCATTCTGACATTATTTTTATGACAATAATGATGCAAAATTGTTATATTTAGTGTCAAAGGAATTATAATTAAAATATAATACAATTAGTAAATTAAAAATGCATAAATGTTTGCTTTCTGACATTGTTTTTATGACATTACAAAATGATGCAAAAATTATTTGTATTCACATTTTTTAAGGTACAGTGTTGAAATTATTTTATATTTTATTTTATATTAGAATTTATAAAATTCGGATTTTATATTAGAAGACATTATTTTTATGACAATAATGATGCAAAATTGTTATATTTAGTGTCAAAGGAATTATAATTAAAATATAATACAATTAGTAAATTACAAATATGCATAAATGTTTGCTTTCTGACATTGTTTTTATGACATTACAAAATGATGCAAAAATTATTTGTATTCACATTTTTTAAGGTACAGTGTTGAAATTATTTTATATTTTATTTTATATTAAGATTTATTAGAATTTATTTTTATTTAAAAAAAAAAAACTCTCCAAACAGCAATTGTTTGTTTTGGAAATAATGCAAAAAAATATATAAAAATCGAAATTCTTATTTTTGTCTTTTGATTTTGGTTTGAAATATATTTCTTTGTGCAATGTAGCATAGCCATAAACTGTGCATTATTATCAATAGAAAATTACACTTGAAATGTTCAAAAGTAACATAGTAAACACAACCCATGAACTCCAAAATATTTATGAAACAATCTAGTTTAATAAACATCATTTAGGGACACATTCATGCATGACAATGCAAACCAATTGTGTCTTCCATTCACAGGTTTAGCTTCTTTTCCCGCGACAAAAACCGAGGCTCTCAGAGGAGGATGCCGCAGATGGGTGACGGCTTCGGCTCGTGGGCGGGGAAAGAGGACGTGTACACAGAACAGGCCCAGGAAGCATTACAGCACATGTAACGAACACAACGCTCCACTAACCGCTAACCTGCACCATGTGACCGTATGCCACGTTTACGCTCCCTTTCATGGTCACTTTCACAGCACTACGTCTGCAAGCAGATGAGACAAGAGCTCACAAAGGGAACATGGGGGACGGGGCCGTTTAGAGTTACTGATAGATTGTGGCCCTCACCTTCGCCCAGAGATACTGTGAGGGAGTTTTATGTGCCTATTTTGTTCGATAGATAGACATTTTATTGCTATTGCAAACGACAAGTTACTGTAAGTAGACGAATAGATTTCAGACAGTATTCTGATGACGTTTAAAGAGAAGATGCCTTCAGTAGATAAGATACATATCTATTTTTAATTCAAATTGAATTATGAGTGAAAATATGCACATGGCTGAAGAAAAAATGTGAGATTTAAATTGAGTTGCTACGCCCAGGCCAGAGATTGTCTGAAAAGGATGGTGGCCTTATATGTTGAATTATGTTTAAAACTTTTTTTTTTTGAAATTGCACAGTAGCCTGATTCTTTTGGCACACAGAATTTAAAGGAATATCAAGTATTCATTTCTACTGACATCCTTTATGTCATGCTGTGTTATCACAGAAAATAATTTTAACTTGTCCCTCAGTTTGTAACAACAAACATTGTATTTAAAGTAATGTATTTGATATAGAGGTGTATGGGGCAAAACATTAAGATCAGAGAAATGTGCCTCTCAAAAAGCCCTTTTATTAACTCTCATGTTTTTGCAGTGAATTGTGTTTTGTAGGAAGAGGATACTTTACCATTCAATGTAATGTAAAAACAGTAATATTGTGAAATATTAGCACAATTTAAAAGAACTGTTTTCTATTTGAATATATTGTAAAATGTAATTTATTCCTGTGATCAAAGCTGAATTTTCAGTATCATTACTCCAGTCTTCAGAGTCACATGATCCTTCAGAAATCATTCTAATATGCTGATCTGCTGCTCAAGAAACATTTCTTATCAATGTTGAAAACATTTAGCTTCAAAACAGTTGCTTCATATTTTTGTGCAAAAAGTGATAAATTTTTATCAGTATTTTTGATGAATAGAAACTTCAAAAGAACAGCATTTATTTGAAATAGAAACATTATAAATGGCTTAGCTGTCATTTTTGATTAATTTAATCCATTGCTGGATAAAAGCATTAATTGTTGATGAATAGAAACTTCAAAAGAACAGCATTTATTTGAAATAGAAACATTATAAATGACTTAGCTGTCATTTTTGATTAATTTAATCCATTGCTGGATAAAAGCATTAATTACTGAACCCAAACTTTTGAACGGTATTGTATTTACATATCAAAACTGTGTGTATTTCAAGATTTCTCCCATTGCAATGCCCCATATACTTCTATTGTGCATGCGTTATCACATGATTTATTTATTTTTTTTACAAACTGAGTGGCAAGTCGGATGCATTTTCATGGTAATTGACAGCATGTCACAGGTTCTGAATTTAAGTCTTTAAACCCTGGAATCATGAAACAAATCTTTAAGTGCATCATTAAGTGTTTCTGCAGCGCATTAAAGCAGAACAATATTAATAATCCATAGCTTACTATTGGCAACTGAAGTATCTATCACATGGCAGATGCAATTCACCAGCGGTTTTGCATTGCTTGAATGGTGCTTTCACTGGCAATAATAGAAGGTTTGAGTGAAAGCATGGAAATGCGTGACTATGTTAACGTGTGTTGATAAAGGCAGCTTTGTAAGCTAGAAAAATACATGCCTGTGGGCCTTAAATCAATTGTTGAACAGCTAGTACTCCACTCAACTGAGAATGTTATCCAGCAACAAGAACTGGATCAAATGCATCATTATAAAAGATTATGCATACCTCATCTCATTGTGTGTTAAACTATTTTATACCATGCATTGTAAGAAACTGCAGTTCTTCATTTTAAACCTCTTGAGTCATTGAAACGTTATTTGTAGGACAAATTATTTGTTCTTTATAACAAGCCTAATTAATGAAATTCAATTCTAAAGGGAACATTTTCTGGTTCAAAAATGAACATTTTGTCATTCTTTACTCAGCTTAATGTCATTCCATTTTGTATGAGTAAATAATGACAGCATTTTCATGTTTGAATAAACTGATTTCAAACTAAATTCACTTCAATGGGAAAAAAAATTAGGTTAGGTTCAAAAGAAGTTTCTTCTGCTCTCCAAGGCTGCATTAATTTGATCAAAAATACAGTAAAGAGTGTTATATTGTGAAATATTACAATTTAAAATAGTTTATTTAATTGGAATATATTTTAGAATGTAATTTATTCCTGTGATCAAAGCTGAATCTTCAGCATCATTCCTCCAGTATTCAGTGTCACATGATCCTTCAGAAATCATTCTGATATGCTGATTTGCTGCTCAAGAAACATTTCTGATTAGTATCAATGTTGAAAACTTCATATTTTTGTGGAAACCATTTTTTAGGTTTCTTTGGTGAATAGAAAGTTTAAGAGAACCACATTAATTTGAAATAGAGTAGAAACATAAATGTCTGTACTGTCACTTTTGATCAATTTAATGCATCCTTGCTGAAAAAAATGATCTTACCAACTTCAAGCTTTATTGTTTAGATAAACTTTTATTTCAAACTAAATTCACATCAGTGGGGGAAAAAAAAAAAATTTGGAATAAGAAAAGAAAGCTTCATTCTCGATCTCTGTAAGAATCTCTGTGTCTTCTGTCTTCCTTTCTGTTGGAGTCTCTCTCTCGGCTTCGGTCCCGGTGGTGTTTCGGGTCTCTTTTCTCTTTGTAGTTACCTCTATCATTCCCTCGATCCCAGTCGCTTTTCCTCTCCCGCCATCGCCCGTGTTCCCTATCTTGTTCTTGGTCTCTTTGTCTTTCCTCCCTCCCACTCGATGCATCCCATCTATCAGCTGATCTGTTCTGGGGCATCATGGATGTCAGATTGATGGGCTTTCGGAAAGGTCTATCCCTGCCTCCAAACCTCAGCTGACCCGATTCCTTTTTGCCTCCTTGGCCTCCTCCGAGTCGCCGTGGAATCCAGCCTTGGAGCGTCCGCTCTTGTTCGAAGTCCACGATGAGTTCGTACTGGTCCACCACCAGCTTGTTGGCGTCTCTCCAGGCTCTCTTCACCGAACGCTCCTCCTTGTACTCGACGAAGGCATAACGCTTGGAGAAACCCGTCACGATGTCCCGGACCAGACGTACCCTGCGGATGTCTCCAAACTTGGAGAAGACTTCCTGGAGCTTGTCCTCAGACGTCTGTGGATTCAGGCGCGCCACGAACAGCGTCAGGTGAGGGTCACCGGTCACACCCTTGTTAGGCTGGTAACGGGCCATCATGGCCCTCCAGACGGCTTTGTCGTGGGGCTCCAAATCTGTGCCATCGATGCTGCCCGCTTTGAGAGGCCTATTCTGGTGGGGACTTAAACCTGAATCCACACAGACTCATGGGGACTCGTGTCATGGTGGGGACCTAAATTGTGGTCCCCACGGGTACAAAAGCTTATAAATCATACAGAATTAAGTTTTTTGAAAATCTAAAAATGCAGAAAGTTTCCTGTGAGGGGTAGGTTTAGGGGGAGGGTTGGTGTAGGGCAATAGAATATACGGTCTGTACAGTAGAAAAACCATTACGCCTATGGAGAGTCTCCACAAGGATAGCTGACCAGACTGTGTGTGTGTGTGTGTGTGTGTGTGTGTTTAAATAAGCCCCAAGAATTCGTGGTTTACTGTGAATTTATAAAACGGATAGTTCCGGTCCTTGATTCTGATTGGTTGAGCCATAATCGAAGCTGTTGTAAATTACTCTACAAACATACACCTTTTGTTTACGTCTGTGTGTTGCTCGGCAACCACTTTGTTGCAACCACAACCGTTTCTGAGGAACTACATTGTTTGGCGGAAGAATAATGTTTTTATTAATATAATTATATTTTATGCTGTTATAAATTAACTGTAAACCACGGCTTCACGGGGCTTATTGCTTTATTATAACAGTTAAGGGGCGTTGTTATGCACGACGCGAAGCAGAGTTTCACTAAATAAAACAGAGCAAATAAAGTGTAATGATATTAATATAAACAGTATTCTTCCGCCAAACAATGTAGTTCCTTAGAAACGGTTATGGTTGCAGCCATAGATATATATATATATATATATACACGAATATATACACATATTGAAAATCAGGGGTTAATAAAATTTTTGACATAAAATGGAGATTTATTCTTAGACATTCTGCTCTATTTGTAGGCCGCTAATTAAATAAGCTCATTTGTGACATTGAAATCATGCTGAGAACATGATCATCAGGTTTCAATGAAGTCAGCTGGAGTGCTGCTGTCATGTAAAGAATATATAGGATTTGGTCCAGACTTCTGGACACCACGGTATATACAAAAACAAAGGCAAAGCACTGCATAAAATCATTTATTTAAACAATGCATCTACCATCTCATACAGATTGATTGGAACACAATCAGTCAGCTTTTGGTCATCAACACTCAGTTTTGTGTAACAGGTACAGCTTTGTTCAAGTTAATCACGACACACTCAGCATTGTACAACGGTAACATTTTCAAATGATATCAAAGTTTGGTTTCACATTCCAGTTTTCTGAACCTTTTAAAATGCAGCTCCTTTTAGCATCACCGGTTTTCTGCGTCAAACAAACGTTTGGGCATTATAAATAATTATTGCTAAGCCTCTAACTACCTTACATAAGATTAGATTAAGAAAACTCTTATAAAAATGCAGAAAGTTGGACTATAACTGCATGCTTTGGAAGCACTGATCTACCAATATATAAAATATACAAAAAGAAATGTGCCAAAACTAGCATGTCACAGAGCAGGATAAATATCTTAAAAGTAGGACACGTCGAATATGTACCGCAATCTAACGTGTTTGACATGTTAAGTCACTGTGTGACATACCCATACACTTACTAGCCCAAAACATTCTGTTTACTAAGGCAATAATTACATTAAAAACTGTCTAGTTAAGAAACAAGGTGTTTTTCCCTCCTCTCAGTACATTAATGCTTCAGCCACGGGTGAGCGTCTATCGAAGCTTTACTGCGGTCGCCGTAGTCGTAAAGAAGTTCTTCTCCTTCCTGGATGTCTCTGGAGGCCACGAGGATAAGGTGAGGTATTCCATTAATATCATGGAGTTTGGTTTGACAATTGCCGTTTTTACTGTGGTTAATGAGCCTTCCCAATCGATCCGACTCCTTCGTAGCGTCCACACTGTCGGGGAAGAAATGTGCTAGATTTCAGACAGCGTTTAAAATGCTGCGGTTTCACTGCTCAAAGGAACAGTTCAGCCAAAACAATTATTCACCCTCAGGCCTTCCTAGATGTAGCGGAGTAAATGAGAAATTTAGCATTACATCACTCAGCAATGGATCCTCTGCAGTGAATGGGTGCCGTCAGGATAAGAGTCCAACCAATGGTTTGACATTTAAAATGTCTTGATGGTTTTGTTTGTTAAAAAAAAAGGAAAGTGCACTGGAAAAGATGTCATTTTAATGATAAAAGACTGTAAAATGCTACAGTAAAACATTAACTGGTTAACAGTAAGTTTCCTTACTATATACAATAATAAAAAAAAAATCTAATGGGACATTTCATGTAGTTTTACAGTAAAATACTGTTACCGTTTTGGAAGTGAAAAAGAACAAGCTATCTTATTGACAGTGAAAACCATAAATTGACATTCCCAGAATTTCCTCCAAGACACTTTACATTTGTTGGTTTTTCCTATCAGTTATGTACATTAGGGTTTCATTACTTTGTATGTTGTTAAATTACTGTTTATTGTATTATTTTAGTGTCATGTGTTACCATGATGGTGTTTTGTATTTGTATGAATATATCAGCTTGTGGAAAAGCTATTTGTGATGAGAAAGTAACAATGAATCAAAGTAAATTTTTTATGGTGGTTGTCAGTATATTATAAAGGTACAAAACAGACTTTAAGTTGGTAAGTTAACATCATATAATTTTTTTTGTGTGTAAATTTAGGTTTAATTTGTAAAATCTGAAATGTTGCTACTGTATTTTTTTCCCCCCCACAGTGGGTGTGGTACCTACCAATATGTTTTGCTGAGATACTGGAAGTAATACATGTAGCAGCCAGTGGTTGGATCTTGTGCGTATAAAGCCTCCCTTTTTTTGGCGTCCGTTATCTGCAGCAGATCTCCATGATACTCCACTACATACTGGCCTTTCTGGAACTTCTGTGTGGCGAAAACTCCCCTGCCCTTTCCTTCAATGTATCTAACCTGTCAAGAACAACATGAAGGTACGCTTGCGTCCATCCAGCAGAGTTCATCATGAAACTGAATTCATCATGTCCAAAATTACCATCATTCCATTCTCAATCCCATTTGTGATCAGCATGTCTATGCGCCTCTTCTCTTCACACTGGTGACAGAAAACAGGCATATGCATTAATATTATAACTTTGGCTGATGTAACGCCTATGAAAAACACAAAATCTGAGCACTACCTTCAGTTCACTTTTGCTTTTTCTGGAGCTTCTTCTGATGGGGAAATAATCTGTAACCTTTCGGCTTTGAGTGCTCTTGGTATCAGTACTGCAAGACAAAAATTGATTAGTGATACAAGAATGTCAAGAAAGAAGAAGAAAATGTTCATAATACAGTAATTTTATATACTGTAGACATTAGTAATAATGTTAATAATGTGCAATGATAAATCATTCACAAAATATAGAAACAAGTGTGTGTGTGTGTAAAAAACTTTATATAATATTTTAGTATCATTGATATGCCATTATTAATGATACTAAAATAATTTTGAATATATTTTGAATTAGATTTTTATACTTTGTTTGCATTTTCTTTTGTTGAAATTAAGAATTTTGTTGTGTGTTTGTCATTTTTATTAGTTTTTGTAATTTATTAGCATTTCTTTTTTTTCTTTTTTTTTTGTGGTTTTAGTACTTAAACTAAACAAAAATAAGAAATACCTAAAATAAGTTTTTTAATATGACATTTTATTTCAGTTCATTTTTTAATGTTTTAGTTAATGATAATGATAGATATATATCGTTTTGTAAAATAAAATTGATAAAGCAATCTTACAATAATTAAAATGATTGCTATATCAAAAAGCTAGACGAGAAAGTTGCTCATCTAGTAGCTGAACAAAATTGAAAAAATAATAATAATACCTTCAATTTTTAGGCAAAAATGTTAATAACCTTTCTGTGATTGAGATTCAAATACATCACTGACTTACATTCTCTTTGTAGATTTCTTTACTTTAACTGTTCGACAGGCTCGTTTCCTCTGACTGGGGGAAGTGATGTCACTGCTGGCGTGGATGTATGATGCAGTGCAGTGCAGCTGATGCGTCTGCTCCTCGGCTCTGTGCACCAGCTCTTCATTCACAGCCATTTTTGGGAGGATGAACTCACCATTTACAGTACTACCTCTCCTGGCTGCAATACACACAAATGAATGACTTGCAACAAATTCAGTGAACGTGACCAATGTCAAGAGACAGATCGTGCACTTATTTCCTTCTTCCTTACAATCTCCATTCTTCTGTGGCTCATTTTGCGTGCAGAATAATTGTGAAGTTTTGCCGTCCTGGATGAGTTTGACGGAGATGGCTTCATGATGCTGTGATTTGGAGCTGCTGCGCTGTAAGAGACGGTGAAATGGCGAGTGTCCGTTGCATATGCCGTCCTGCAAAACAGTGAGATTTAGAAAGGAGGCGCCAACTGGCTTGAGTTTTCTGATTTCTGTGTACATCAAATTTTGGTTTATGAGGCATTAAATAATATTTAAGTGTAGTAAAACGTGGTCATGTATTTGGTATCCAATGCAAATAACAGACATGACAAAGCACATTTTGTAGTCAAAATTTACACACTGTTAAAAAGATTTAAAAAAATGAACAAAGAACATGGTGTATGTTATTATAAAAAAATAAAAAAAAACTACATTTAGTGTAGCCTAAATGTTTTATTAAAAAATTCCTTTGAATTATTATTAGAATAAATTGTAATTTCCACATATAAAACATTGTATAGTGTTTTTATTGTATAGTAAATTAATATACATTATATAGTTTTATACTTTTTGTAAAAACTGAATTATTTCAAGAGTTTTGTTGTCATTTATATTAGTTCACTTTTTAGTAATTCTGTTCTGCATTTGTTTTTTATTGTTGTTTTTTTTTAAATATGTAGTCGTAATATTTTTTATTTTAGTTTGAGATATTTTAGTACTTAAATTCAAAGTAAACAAATATGAGAAATGTAACACGTAAATGTATATATATATATATATATATAAAAACTGCATAGATTGTGTAAATATAGAAAATGTAAATATGTTAAGAAAAACGCTCTGAATTATAATCTAAATCTTAAAGTTTACCTAACATGTTAATACATATCTAAAAGTGTTTTTATTCCATCTCAGTTGGTCTTTATATATTTTTATTCTTTAATTTATTATTTCTATTATGAATATTTATTATGGGTCTTGTTGTATTTGTATGTGTGCACTGGAAAATTCCTTGTGTGGCAATAAAGATCTTTCTGATTCGGATTCTAATTATTAATTATAAATAATATAGAATATAAATAATTGTGAGAAGCAGTAGTAAAAAAGTAATATTTATCAGGAGGCGACTAACCAAAAGTAATTTTCAAAATAACTAATATCCGTTAACCGAGTAAACATGTAATTATAGTGATGTAACTTTAACATGTTATTGAGTTGCTGATCACCCTCACATTGGGCCTGTAAACAGCTGCGCTCGCGCGGTTTATAATGTTGTACACCGCAGCGCTAGTGTTCTTTTATCTGCTTTAAACGTCACAATCAAGTGTACTAACACACACACACACAGCCACACACACACAGCCACATCCATTCATACAAGTTATCAAACAGCAACAGAATGAGCCAGTGGAGCTCGTGTGTTTCTGATGGAGAGTTGAGGTTAAGAGCAGTTTATAGAAGCATCGAAACACAGTCTGCTATCAGACCGCGTCAAATAATCATCCTCCGCGAGGAAGACGCCGTGTAACCTACCCCGTTCATCTCAGTGCACTTTCTCTGCGAGCCTTATTGTTTTGAGGCGATGGTCAGGTCCGGTCCAATGTTTTCTCCTCTGCACTTCTGTCCTTCTAAACGGCGTGGAACGAGGACATTCACAAACAGCTCCGTGTTCACGACGGGGGAAAAAACTAGAAACTTCAGAGCTGTTTTAATTAATGCTCCTCCATCCGAGCATATAATTAAACACCTCGATACATATGGACGGACTCCGGGGCTTTCTGAAAGATGGTTGTAGGTCGGCTCTCGACAGATGCTCCGCGACGTGTCATCCGCGTCGCGTCTGGAACATTTCCGAACGCAAAATCGACTGTTTTGTGGGCTGCAGCGTCACGTGATCCGCACGCGCCTCGGGTAAAGATGGCGCCCGGCGGTTAGAAAACAAGCAGCGCGAGCAGCGGCGACATCCTTCACTCCGCCGCGACGTTTGGGATCCATAGAAACCGTGTGGAGTACGTGTTTGACATACTGGACATTAACTGTCAGACAGCGGGTTTGCTCTGTTTTTTTTGTCACGCTCACAATTCCCGTCGGTTTAGGGCCGCTAAGCAAAGGTATGTTGAGTTTTATTGCGGTTTTTTTGCGTGAAAGCTGAGGGAGTCTTGCGCTAAGCAGCTAACCTGAGGCGAGCCGTTAGCGCACTTTTGACAAAGTCACTGACAGGAAGTATTCGCTCATATGTCATTTTTTGGCACTTATTCCGCTTGTCAGGGTCCTTGGGATTATTTAAACCCGGGTATAGCCTATTTAAAGAGTGTTTTGACTTCTCTTTTGATGTTTAAGGTTGATGAAACGAATCGTGAGGAAAATTA